CCCTTCTTAAGCTGGTTAATTGCTTCAATAATTGAGGCAGGTGATGAGCTCTTGTGCCGGCGCACGCGATCACGTATCAACGTTGATTGAGCCTCAAGCTCGCGTACGTTGCTTGGTGTACGAGCCTCCCAGAGGGCCTCTGGCAGAGCAACTGGAGTAGGCGTACGCAGCTGCACATCAAGCTTTGATAGAACAACGTCTGCCTAGAGAGGAACAAGGCCTGCGCCTCTAAACGCTGAGCAGATATTGTCTGGCGTAAACAATCGTGTAAAGGCTGCCTTAAACGCTGGCAGAAACTTAAGCTTAGTGATGTGGTTGATGTGGTGGCGGATCAGGCTCTCAACCTCACAGCTGTACGCGCGCTTCAACGGCGAGAAGCAGCCAATATCAAGAGGCTGAAGTAGATGAGATGAGTGAGGCGGCATGCAGAGTGTGTAGATATTGTTCTCCTTGCAGAGCTCTTGAAACTCAAGAGAGTGGTGGCTCTTATGGCCATCAAGGACAAGTAGGCGACGCGCACCAACAACGCAAGTCTTTGTATAAGTGTTGAAGTGCTTTAGCCACTCTACCGTGCACGGACACCGGGTGGGCCGGGTCACCAGGTGGGCCACCCCACCAACTTTACCACCTCACCAACAGTGAGGCTACAACACCACGTAGAGTAGATATTATTATATAAGAAGTTGATGAAATATACTATCTGCTACTGCGAGACTTTTGGCGTATTCAGTTTTTTTGTGGGCTTTGTGACGCGGCCACCACGAGTCCTGAAGCCTGGGGGTGCTGAGCTGGGCTCATGAGACTCCTGTGAACTGCCCTTTGCTGCACCACCACCACGCTTTGTTGATTTTGACCGTGGCTTTGCTGAGGCCTTGGGATTAGTCTGTTTAGGCAATTGGGATACTTTTTCTGCGTTCTTGAGTGTTTTGACGCGCTCTCTTTCAGCTGCGCGTTCGGCGATCCCCTGAGCCTTCTCCGCCCTCTTTTGAGCTGCCTTCTCACGCCTCAACGCTGCCTTTTCTTGCCTCTTAACCTTATCCTTCTCTTTCAGGATCTTGTTGTTGTGCTGTACTTGCTTCCGATCAGCCTTTGCAGCGTTATCTGCGATTGCCTGCTTCTCTATATCCTTTATACGGGTCTTGGCACGTGCAACGGATGAAGGATCCCAGAATATGGCCCCCCCTTGTACATTAGGGTCCCGCGGTGACAGTGGCAATACTTTATTCTTCTTTTGACGCTTCTTCTTACTCTCCAGTGCTGTTTTGAGGCCCTGAAGTTCCTGATCTTTGAGCTCAAGAGCCACGTGCATCTGGTGTATCTGCTGCCTTGCCTCACTCTGCGCCCCTAGGTCCCCATACGTCACTGCACGGTCAAAAGATGACCTAAAACGTCGCCAATTAGGTGAGGTAGATGCCGCCCAAGGCTCTGATTGCTGGGGAGGCGTTGTAGGTAGTGGTGGAGTCACCTTCTTGAAGCGATCAAGTATGACGTCTGGGTGAAGTGGGTATATACCTGTGACTTTAAAGGCTTGGAGTATTAACAATTTAGTAAAGGTGTTGACCTAGGCAGGCCAGAAGAGGCTTATGAAGTCTGCCTTACCTGTGGGGAGCCATCCCTTGGTGTTGTGGTTATAATATATGAGCTTATTTGAGTAAGATTGGCTCAGGGGCTTAAAGCATGAGACATCTAGGGGTTGCAGCGTATGGGTGGCGTGCGGGGGGTAAACTAGCACCAGAATTCGATGGAGATCACAGTAATTGATGAAGGCCTTCGTCACGTGGCTGCCGTGGCTGTCAAGAATGAGTAATCTGAACTTTCTCTAAGCTTTTTTTGAGGTAATGGGATTAAACACCTGCTGCAGCCAGGCAACACCAAGATCGTCGTTCGTCCAGCCACTTGGGGATACTGAGAATCGTAGATCGTGAGTATCTGGATTGATATCGTGCACCTAGTTAGCCTGTACTTTCTCACTAGCCGCGGGATAGATTATGGCAGGGGGGAGGTGAGATCTGTTGGCACAAATCGCGCCTATAACTGTCACCCACTCCCTGTTGCCATCGTGAGATGCTTGCTTATATCGACGCTCCTTGTGGAGAGCCTTATCAAAGACTCTTTTAGTCTTTCTAATGACCCTAATTATAAATCCCTTCTTGTCTATATTGTAGGTGTTCTTAGGGAGAATGTTAAATTCCTTAACTTTTTTAGTTAAAAGATTAAAGTATAGATAATATCTTTTACAGTTATTAGCTACATAACGCGTGCTTTCTATGGGGGTGGTCCAGGCAGTAGTGAGGTTATTAGGGTGACAGTGAATAAGCCTAGAAACCTACTGATCTGAGGGCTCCTAACTGCACAAGGGGGTTGCGAAATTAATTAT